CGACAGTTCCCGACGTAAACTTTCCAGTTCCGAAGTCCAGCTTCAATTTGCCAAAGACATCGAGATGGGTCGCTTGAAGTTTTTGCAGAAGGCGAAGGGTGCCTCCACTAACCGAGGTGCTGCGACCACAGGCCCCGTTACCAGGTCGGGGCCTCCCACAGAGGAGCCGAGGCCGGTCCAGCCTCCTGCTGTTGAACCTATTGCCGAGCAGGTCCTGGGGACCGAGGTGGTTGTGGCGACTCCGACCCGCCCCGACCTCGAAGAACGGGTGATCCCGGAGACCCCTCAAGACGTTCATATCATCGTGTCTAGCGCCGAAGATGCTGAAGCTGAAAAGAATGATGCGGAGGGGGCTGATGCCCGTAAGAAGCGCAAGTCCAAGAAGAAACCCGAGGACGAGCCGCACACCGCCGGGGAACGTCGGTCCAAGCGACCCTGTTTTGACTCTTGAGGAGAGGAACGCCCCGGTGCACCAGGACAAGAGCTCAACTTTCTTGCCTCTTGATGACGAAAGGGTCCTCAACCTTAACCTGCCTCCTGGCGTCCCCGAATGGTTCACCGACTACCAGTCTGTGGAACGCCCGGAGATCCCTAACAAGTTTCACCAACCGCCGCACATGATTGAAGCTGCTCGGGTCCCCTTGATGGCTTGGGATCCGACCTCCGAGGGTATGTTGGGGTCGATGTCGGACGTCCAAAAATTCAGCTACGCCAAGGCTTGTCTCGGTAGGGCTTTGGTGAGCTTAACTTCGGTGGAGGATGCATTCCGTCTGAATTTCACGGCTCTCGAGGACAAGAAGGAGAAGGTTATTTTCCGCGACAGTCAGATCTCGGCTTTGCAGTCTGAGAAGACCGAGCTGAAGGCGGCGGTGGCCGAGAAGTCCGACCAGCTGACCGCGGCGCAGGCTGAGATCGCGGCCCTGATGGAGGACAAGAAACGCTTGGAGGCCGAAGTGTACAAGTTGTCGAGCCAGGTCATTGACTCTGAGCATAACGCCAAAGATACGAGCGAGAAGCTTGCAAAGGAGCGGGAAGAACACCAGAGAACTCGCCAGGACCGAGCTGAGAAAGAAGCCGAGCTGATCCGGCTGAGAGAGGCACATGCGGCGGAGGTCGCCCGTCTTGAAAAAGAGAAAGCCGAGTACGGGACCCTCATGCGCAACCGAGGTGTTGAGGCGGGCAAGGAGCTCGGGAAGGAAGAGTTCAAAAACTCCGAGGAGATGGAGCGTGACCTCGAATTCAATACTTGTCTGAACCTCCGCTGGACCGTTGACCGCGTCGGCTCGGGCCTTTATGGAGTCGGCGATCTCGCGCTCATTCTGCACAACAAGATAGTCAGGTTGGGTTTTGACGCCTCTATTTCCGAGATGCGCGTTCCGGCCGACGACGATGAGAGGGACTACGTCGAAGGCGTCTTGAACAGGTCGGACCCGCAGATAACAGCTTCGGCCCTTCCCCCCTTGAGCCGCGAGAGGCGTGCCGAGCTCCAGAGGGCCTTTATGGATATGGTCCTTGAAGGGGAGAAGGAGAAGAGGGAAGAGCTCGGCCTCAAGTTCATTGACACTCTCGCCGGCATCACCGTTGAGCATTTCAGGGTCCTAACTCCGGCCGAGATCAAGAAAGAGGTTGTTGAGTATGCCGATAGGATGACTGCTGCTGCGGCCGAGATGAATGTTGATGCACCCCGGGTTGATACCGAGCTTGTCACGGTGACTGAATCAGCCGACCCGGGGACAGTGAAGATCACAGTTGACCCCGACGCCCTTGACGCGGCGATCTACGCTAAGCTTAGCGAGCAAGTCAGAGACACTTCAAGAGACGCCGACGACGATGATTCAGAGGAAGTCGGGGAGGACCCGG